CTATTAAAAGGTTAACGTTGAATATTTATCATGAGAACGACGTAGTAGCAAAAAAAGATCACCTGCAAACGTCTCGTTTCCTATATCAGAACTTAGTACACTTACAGAATTCAAGCCCAGAACGTAGACGCTATCAAGAAACTCATGCCAGCGATCTTAGACGAGGAATAGCCATGCACCCGTCAGACACCGAGTTACTATGGCAATGAGACGTGCGTATTTACATGACGGGGGTCTGGGCTAACAGGATAGAGAAATACTATTTTAATAATATTTAAACTCTATTTAGTAATACTTAGGCTCTATTTAGGAATATTTAAACTCTACATTTTCAAGCCTATAAGCTTCAAATGTAATTCGCGACTTAATCGATTGACGCAAAAACAAATGCTTGCTTTCATTAAAGATGAAAGCTATAACAATTTGAATTTATGTCATGCTTTGAAGGCCAAGTTTAGACCGGAACCAGATTTTGTTTGTCCGTGTCATAGTAACATGCTCTTTATCTATGCTGTTCTCGTAAACTTCTGTAAGCTAAAAAGGAAAAGTACGCATTTAAAATGGACTAGACCTTACTTCGTTACAATGAAAATTGGTAAATGCTTTCTTACTAGAGGCTCGGTCTTGGAATCTAAAGAAGTATGACTGCGGTAAGCGCAGAGATTGACATCGTGTTCAAGGCGTCCGGGGTAACTGCAAAGAATACTCGAAGCACCACAGGCGTATTTGTTGCGGCCACCGCGATTATTAAGCTTTGATAGTGGTCAAATGAAAACTGCCGCACGAAAAATATCCTGTTGTCGGTATTTTTTACGGTATATGTGTATATTGTACCAGTGTGTGTGAAGAATAAAGCCTTTCGAGGTGTCAAAAAACGTTTGCCTCAATGTTGTTTGTTTGTTTCGGAATATCCTTTATAGACATGTGTACCAACTGAGCTGCTATTTGTTTTAATCAAGGATTGCAAAACGGTTTGACTGGCTGATACGACACGAAATCTTGCCGTTTATGGAAAAGATACAGGAATTAGGTTTTGGGCTGAATGTTTCAGAATCTCCAAGATCCAAAAATTACAAAAGTTACAATAACGAACAAATAGTTGGTGTAATTTAGCTGAGAAAAATGCTAAGAGTGATATTTCGAACTCTTTTGATAAATTTTCAAGCGTTCTTAATTTTATCTTTGTCTTAAAAATGGAAATCTACAAAGTAAGACGTGAAGCAATGAACAGCAGCTGATCTTCGTTAATATTTTGTATGATAATAAAATACGGTATTAACTTTTTGTTTGTTGTATAGAAAGTCTGCAGTTTGGTTCGACAAAGAATAAATTTTCTGCAGTGAATAAAGAAACCAAACAATTCGCCAAATTTTCCCCATTTTATTTTAAACGCCTTATAACGTGTATATATACAGCCTTTCGAGCTAAGTCGATTGACTACGAAGGCGTACGATGAGATTGTTTGAAGTACTGGAATGCATAATGGTAACGCCTACTTGTATAATAGAATAGCAAAATATTTCGACACCTAATTAGGTCCATGCAGTGAAATATGCATAATCAACATGTCACATACAGTTACATCTAATATATATTGTTTTTTTTTAATAGTTAAGCGTAATATGAAATGTTATCCTGCTTCGACACACTAAGATCGCCAGCCCGGTACAAAACCCCTTTCATCGCATGAGCTGTGTTAAGTGACGACGTTCTACGCAACGATTTGATTTATTAAAGCCAGCGTTTCACCGTTCCCTTAACTTATGAAAAAACAACGTTTAGTTGTCCCAACGCCCGGGCTACGGAACAAAATTTACCCAACGATATTAGCTATTTTGAAATTTAGCGCTTATCTATATGTGACCACTCTACTTATGTTATGTGAATATAATAATATATCTCTTTTCATTACAATATAAGATGAATAATAATGCTTAAATTGAATAGACAGGGTTTATATGTAGGTCAGTAAGAACAAGAAAACTCATGTAAAAAAACAAGGAAATGTGGTCGCGTTTTGTTAGTAGATTTGCACGTACATAACGCGTTGCTGGTGCTCGGGGGATAGTAGAGCGTGCGCACGTGTACGGAAGAGTCGTCATGCTGGAAGGGTCGATTCGCGAAACGAACCGTTTATCTCTTTCGCTTCCGCAAAGCCGTTAACGTGGAAGGGGCAGCCCTCAACTGGCTGTGTTGAACTGCGTAGAAAGCTAGAGCAAGCGTGGGGGCAAAGCTGTTGTAGACTGCGAGTATTTTCTCTCGATCGAAGTAGGGTCACAAACGTCAGCAACGGTCCCGTTTTCCAAGCTCCGCCTAGAATTCTTAAGTACAGGCTCTATGACTTAAAAAGGTAATGATCTGCAGCGTTACCGCCAAAGACAAAATAAATGGTTTAAATGGTATTTTGCAATCGCACAAAAAGACATCCAAAACAATATATTTGGTGAGAAACAATTTTTGCTGTTTAGTATATTCATTAGCGCAACAATTATAAACAATGCCAAACTAATTAACATATAACCAAAATAAGCGAAAATTCAGATTCATATAGCCTATTCAGGTTCAATCAGAGTGTCACTGGTGACATCTTTGTTAGGGGTGCAAAGCGTCGAATTTATGCAGAAGATGCCAACTTTACAACTGCTGCTCGTATGTCTCTAACGTTTTTATTAAAAGCATCTCATTACATCGAAATAGTTGTTTTTTTAATACTCAAACCTGTCACGTGGCAGCTTTGAAGAACAGTGGTACATTCTACCTCTCTTCCAGTGATTCGAATCTATCCTTGTATGAGGTAGCGAAGAGTTGACTTTTGACTTGTTTCGTACACACGTATACATAAATACAAATTTTCGAGTTTTATTGCCGCCGCTAAGTAGTGCCCGTAATACTACATAAATAATTGCCCGGGTTGTTTCGGAGTGAAGCACATCAAAGGAATTAAGAACTAGTAATAATAATAATGATTCTGTGACGAGATCAGCTTTCAACCATCATTTAGCTGGTCATAGTAATGAGTGGCCGTTAAAATGTCGAGAATATGGTAATTTGTTTAAATATTCCACGAGCTCCAGAACACACATGATGAATCATATCAACTCAAACAGTAGATTAACGTGTACCATGTGCCTCGACTAGTTCATCAGCGTGAAGTCGTTTAGCGTGCATGTTTATAGGTGTAACAAGAAATCAAAATTCGACATTACTATTACATATGCAACTGAATTTTTCGACTGAGATAGTCTTTCGATGCAAAATTGAAATATTTATGGTGTACATGAAAATTCGGCGTTTTTAAATACAGTTTAGATGGGTAACACGTCGTTCAGCACAGAGCACATTTCCACAGTAATTTAAGGTCTTGGCATACCAAGCAAAGGCGTACAACTGCATCGAGGAACGCTGCTCAAACGGCTTTCCTTCCCGTGCGACACTGATGTATCATCTCAAAACCGGCCATTTTCGAAATAGCTACCCGCGTGTCTTCTTGCTTTCTTGGTTGTAGTATGATTACACTAGCAAACAAAAAGTACGGGTTGCATATTCACACAGTGTGTGTGAGTGAGAAAGTGTAGGTTGTTTTATTAACAGTAGCTAATTTTCATTAAAACCAATTTAAACCGATGATCAGAAGGATTGATCGAAATAGCGTTTCATGTCGGAGACCAACAAAGACCCGTAAATCTGCTAAGGCTTGGTGTTGTTTTCGGTAGCCCAATATAATAATATTTATTATATAATAATGAAATAATGAAACTTTGGAGCACGTAAGGTGGCCTAAATTCGAAATCAGGCCAAGACCCATTTCATTTCGTCTTGAAAAGCGCCAAGCGTCCGAGGCAGTGCTCAAGGCCAGTACAACTTCTCGGAAGACAGTTATTAATACACGTAAGGAAAACGTTAGTTTTAAGTTTCTTTTCTAGTGAGTACACTAAGAATGTGCATAGAAGCTAAGAGCGCCCCATATTCAGATTAATATGATACTCGATAGAAGCTATTTACGAATTCACTAATTTCAAATCTTATTATTGTCTTCTCTAATAACTACATTCTGGATGTTCATATATAATTCATGATTAAAATTAAGATGAACTTGCTCAACAAAGCAGTCTAAGAACGTTCCCAACTTATTAGTTGAAGTTTCGTTTTGCTAAACACTACTGGCAGATTGAAAGCAAAATATTTCTCAGCGCGAACCGCAGGGTGAAGTCCTCCTCCAAAGTATCCTGCTGGAGGTGCGATCCTGTTGTAGCTTCATTCATCCGTATTTTGTTGTGTTTTTTGGGAGATTACATAACTCGTAATGCATTTCTGTATATGACGTATATGCATTTGGTATCCGCATAAAAAAAAACTAATAAAGATAATAATAATAATCATCTATACAGCAAACGTTTCATACCTGCAGTATAGTGCAGTCAAACCGCAATTGCTTGAGAAACATGCAGACAGAAACATGCACGCCGATTTGCTACCATTCCGAATACAGTCGTGACTTTGAGATCTATCTATTGAAGGGGACAAACCAATTCTTAACTATTGAGACTATCAGTGAAAAGATGCGACGTAAAAGAGAATTGCAGTGAAGCCATGAAGGTTCAGTGGTCGGCGTACGAGGTAGGGCTTTGAGCACTACACTTCATAAATTGTATATTTTGATTGAGACTCGTATGTCTGGTAAGTTCGTACTGTCATCGATGAAAAGCACGTAATCTCGCTAATGAAGTAATAGGAATATTTAAAATATAATTTCGACACACTTGTCAAGGTGAAATGAGAAATTGTATAGCTCAAGCACACTAAGAAATTTATATGCTTACTGTTTTTAGCTATATTATTATTTTTTAAATAGTACGATTTTGAGAGAGAACAGTTAGCTTTCTAAATCATCTTGTCAAATCTGGAGGTGCACAAATAACCAAATATAGAAAAACGAATAGATAGTAATAACTAGACTCCTAAAATTTGCTTGAACTATAACTTGAGTACGCTCATATTTAAGAGGGTACGTCGCCAGGTGCGTCTACGCGTGATTTATAAACTAGACCTCACGTGTCTCCTTGTGCAGCAAAAGTTCGGGGGGCTTCTTTCTAGTCATGAAAAAACGTGAATGCCCCTTTATAATTTTAATTTATGCATAATGTGGCCATCTCTATTTTTTTTGTAATTATTGATTACAAAGCAGTTTATGTTGGGCATTTGGTAATATTATATACAAGTAGAAATAAATGAAAGTATAATTTGCGTAGATTTCATTTTATAGCAGGTTTTCAAAGGCATTCTTCTGTGCAATCCGGCTTGGGTTTCGATTTACCTTTTCACATCGTAGACCATGTTTACAATGTGAGTGGTTTCGGTTTCGAGCGCATGACCATGCGACTGTTCTACTGCAGTGTTTTTTTACCAGCTGACAGTTAATTTTGTATGTTCTACTACTAAATACTTAGAATAATATGTTAAAAGTTATCTCTTTGATAAAAACAGCGACAATAAATGTGTGCCTAAAGAGTTAGTGTTTAAGTGAAGAAATTGGCAGCATGTCTGTGCAAACAAACATGTCGTATCGTTTATTCGTGAAAAACTTCCCCAAAGATGCAACCGAAAAAAAAGTCAGAGATTTTTTCGCGACGAAGGGTACAGTTACTGATGTCTCACTTAAGTTCACGCCAGAAGGAAAGTTTCGAAGATTTGGTTTTATTGGATTCTCTGATCCGGCTGAAGCCAGTAAGGCACAAAAATACTTTGATAAAACGTTTATGGGAGCATCTCGTCTGCATGTCGAACTATCGAAGAATCTAGCTGAGAAGCCCCGCCCTTGGTCAAAGTATTCTGAAGGCAGTACCGCCTATCTGAAGGCGCATCCGCAGGAAGCAGAGAAAAAAAAACGCGAAGACGAAAAAAAACGTAATGAAGAAGCACTTAAAAGACAACGTGAACACAAAGAAAAAAAGGATTTTCTCAAAGATATATTGGGTTCTCTGCCAGAAAATGAAGAATTTAAGGAGTTCCTAGCGGTAAATCAAAACGAGCAACTCCTGTGGACCAACGATGAGGCCGAACAGAACAAAAAGGTCGCGTCGACATCTCACGATGATGAAGCACCCGCCAACGATACAGGACCCGAGACCGACCTTTCGACAAAAAAAAAACTGCCGAAGGAAATATTTCCTCACGTTGTTGTTGTCCGTAATCTGTCATTTAAATGGAAGCGTAAAGACATAAAAGACTTTTTCAAGGACCTGTCAGTGTGTTCCATTCGAAAATGCCTTAAACCGGGCGTAAAGGGTGTGGCGTATGTCGCATTTAAAAACGAACCGGATCTTGTTAAAGCGCTGGAAAAGGATAAATGTTTTATAGAAAGGCGGCGAGTCCATGTTTTAAAACATATTGATCGCGCCCATAGGAATAAGGCAGACAGAGATGACAAGCGTAGTAAGAAAGCGTACCTAGATAAAGAAATTGCTTCAGACGTCATTACAGATACGGGCCGGTTATTCATTCGAAACCTCCCTTATTCAGTAACAGAGGCGGAACTGGAGGAGCTGCTTAAGCCATTCGGTCCTTTAGCCGAATTACACCTTAGCATCGACTCTGTTACCAAGAAGCCTAAAGGTTTCGCTTTTGCGACTTTCATGTTTCCTGAACATGCTGCGCGGGCCTACCAGGCACTGGACTATACGACGTTCCACGGCCGTCTTATGCATGTTATTCCCGGATTGGCGAAACCTCAGGACGATCCACTGCTATCCAAGGCTAAAGGAGCTGGCGATTCGTCCTTTAAGACGGATAAGGCCATGAAGATGAAGGCTCAGGCTGGTAGCGCACATTCATGGAACTCACTTTTTCTAGGCGCGAACGCCGTTGCGGATGTTATGGCAGATAAATACAGTGTAGAGAAAACGAAGATTCTAGGAACTGAGAAGGGTGAAAGCGTAGCTGTACGTATGGCTTTGGGTGAAACGCAGATTGTCAATGAAACCCGAGAATTCCTCGAAAAGCATGGGGTAGACCTATCGGTGTTTAAACAGAACACAACGGAGCGAAGTAAAACAGTTCTACTAGTCAAAAATCTTCCAGCCGATACCAAGGATAAGACTCTCTGGGATTTGTTCAAAGGCAAGGGTCATCAGGCAGTTCGGCGTGTGATACTACCGCCATCAGGCGTAACGGGTTTGGTGGAGTTCAATGAGCCACAGGAAGCGCGCAGTGCATTCAGGCGTTTAGCTTATACGATGTTCCAAGATCAGCCACTTTACCTAGAGTGGGCCCCTGTCAACGTCTTTTCGAGGGAGGCAACAGTTGAGGAGAGTACGAGCCCGGCGAATCAAGATGACTATACCGAACAGAAAAAATCCGAAGCAGACCACAAAGATAAAGATCTGAAAGAGACACAAATGCAGAACTCAAACAAATCAATTGACCAGAAGTCGGAGGACACATATGAAGAGGGAGCAGTACTCTTCATCAAAAATCTGAACTTCGAAACAACCAGTGACGACCTCAGGGAGCACTTCGCGCCTTGCGGCGCGGTGGAAGCAACGATTGCAACAAAGATGGATCTCAGTAAACCCGGAAAAACTCTCTCAATGGGTTACGGTTTCGTCCAATTTGCTAGCGCCAAAGACGCGATGTCAGCTCTTAAAAAGCTACAGCATTCCTCATTACACTCACACACTCTCGAGCTCAAGGTCTCTCGACGAGAGGTGCAAGTTGCAAGGGTAGTCGCTCGAAAAGAGCAGAAATATAACAAAGCTTCAACAAAAATCCTCGTTCGAAACGTACCATTCCAAGCTAATCGCAGAGAAATTTTAGAACTGTTTGCTGTCTTTGGCGCACTGAAGACTGTCCGTCTGCCCAAAAAAATGTTCGGCGGAGATTCAGGCAATCACCGAGGATTCGCTTTTGTCGAATTTGTGACAAAGGGTGATGCAAAACGAGCATTTGACGCACTATGCCAGAGTACGCATTTGTACGGTCGGCGGCTGGTGCTTGAGTGGGCGGCGGAAGAAGACGATGACCCGGAAGCACTTCGAAGAAAAATGGCTGAACAGTTCACAGAAGGCTTGAACAGTAAGCGGCTGAAAAAGTCCGACCTAATGGATACTCTCGAAGGTGTATAACAGAATTATAGACTTACATGGAGAAAATTATTAGATCATTTGTTACGAGTTAGTATTGTCTATGAATGGATGCGATAGATTTGAAGAACACCCTAACGGCGATTAATGGGCAGATGAATAACGTTGTCAAATCGTTATCAATATCACCATTTTAAGAATGTTCAATTTTCAAATTTGACGTCTATTATCCTATATAGGAGCATCTATTTATAATGACCCTTGTAGTTGGTTAACCTAAAGGCTGCCTAATGGGTAAGCTATTAATAACAGCTCTTCATCGAAGTAAGCGCGTATTTCATAATCTGGCAAAGACTGTATAGCGATCGTCACACGACATAGGACATCATTGAGATTTTGTAATGGATTACAAGGATTACTTAACGTTTTTCAACGGACGCTAACTTTGAGCCAACCAGGCTATAACGGCAAATCAACGATTCACTATTGAGTTAAATTAGAAAACCGCTCTTCTAAATTGCGTGCAATCAAATCCGCCCGGTATAGTATTGAGTTGTAGGACTAAAAATTCGGCATAAAAAGCTTAGCTGATTGAAAATATTGAAATCTGTTAATGACCTGGTATTATCAAGATAAAAGAAACAAAGGCACATTAACCAAAGTGTTCTTTTGCGTTTAGAGCAAATCTCGAGTAATCTAAACACGTGCTTTTTCAGGGGCAGCATTGCTGGAATATATGCTGCGGAAGTACAATATAAATCAGATTTACTTTCGCGAATCTGTGGTTTAAATTGTGTATCAGTCGGAGCAACCAATAAACTTTAATTCAGGGAAAGGTAATATTATGCTTAAAGATGGTAAGACCTTACGGTCATCAAATATGGTGTGGAAACTGGATATAAACAGCAGTCACCCAAGAAGACTCCACGTTTAGGTCATATATGAAAAGTAAAACAAAACAGCCTTCAAAGATCCTTTCCAAAAATGTGTAAATAAACGGATATTTTTAAATTACTTCATAATTCGTTCGTAATACATTCATATATCTAATAACAATTACACAATAATGATAATAATCTAGTATCTAAATGACCAAAATGACAAAAAATTTAATGGAGCCATATTAATATACTTAATGATAATATCGTTAAGTATATGTGGACCAGCACGAAACGGCTAGTAATAAATAAAGACGCCGTTGTTATTTCACCTTTATGTGACAATTTGCCATGAGCTAACAACCGTAAAAGCCGTTCTACGCTGTTCTGGCTGTGGACTTACCAACTGTCCGTTCAAGCGAACTGCAGATTATTGCCTATGAGAGTAATCTAGCATATTTTTCTATTAACCCATGTTGCAAAAAAACACCATAGACGTTCCGACGCCTCGTCGTATTATTATATTGAGAAGACTTAATGAATGAAAGAGTTAATGAGGATGATCCAGAAAGACAGAAAAAAAGGATTAAACATCGGTTCCATTTGATTAATTTAGTTAACTCTCCTTTCTTTATCAGCCGCTTTTTTCTATACCATTATCCCAAAATAAAAAACTATATGTTGACGTAAGATAGTTTATATAATTCGATGATGCTATGAAAAAAATATAAGTTGTTACATTACTGAAAGTACGTATCATTTAATTTTTATGTTTAGTTTAAAACGGATGTTTAGTCAAAGCTAGCCTTCAAGCTGTTTAATTTATTAAACCATTAGTTTGCTTACAAGACTTGCTGTACTGATGAAAACAAAATTGCTTTTAATTGCGTTTTGTGAATAAATATGTACCCACTATTATTATTAATATTACTGTTAAGCTTGAAAACTTGACAATTTATATGGTTCAAATGGCCACATCACTCACGATAATGCAGGCACCTAATAACCGCTGGATGCTTCTTCCACCTTATGCCGGGAAAGAAATGTTTACATATGACTTCCTTCACTGTCTAGAAAATAACCAAATTGGTGAATAAATCGAGTAGGCATTTTGTGTGCTGCTCGTACTAGACTTCTAGCTAACCTTTAGTCAATCAATATTCTATCATTCTTCTTCTAAACTGCATGCGATTCTGGCAAACTCTTATTATTGTTATTACTATTATAGAACACAACGTTTGTACAGTTCACGCGACCTAAGACGCGTTGACGGGGCGTAACTGAGCACCGATGTATGATCAAACATCAAGAATAGAGTAGACTTCTCCATCCACTCCACATTGTATCTATATGACATTCGCATTACTATTGCCCTGTTTCGCTTTCCATTAGAGGTTCCGGGCTATTCAACAAATTAACTTCTCATGGCTTTCCAACACGCAGCGATCTCTATCGTCTACCGCTTTTGTAATCTCTTCCTCCACGACATTCACGACGATGGCTGTGCTCTTTACGCTTGCGCGCGTTGAGCGGATGTCGAGGGTCTGTTATGTCGTACATATCTTCTTTTTGGGTAGTCGCATCTTTCGCCAATACGGGACCCTGCTCCTCGAAACGGAGTTCGTGCTGCATCCTGTTATGAATGTAGATACAAGCATACAACAAACAACAACAGTAATAGAAATATCTAAGTTTAGTTTCAACGTGTCCACGTACTGGATCACAAGAAGAAACTCACAGTAGAAGAAAACATCACGCCGTAGGGACATATCCTGTTTGCTTCAACTGATTTATGCCTTTTAATAGCCAAAGTACAAGCAAAAGACGCCATTTGAGTCAAAACTTAGATGGTCACTTACCAGTTGCTGTCATCTTCATCGGCATTTTTATCTTCGTCAGCCTCGCTGCTATTATCAGCATGTTTGCGTTTGTTTGCTCCGGTTGCTGAAGTCGATTGCTGATGAAGTTTAGCTTTAAACAGCTCAAGTTTGGCTAAAGTTGCAGCTTCCCGGTCGCCTTTGTTGGTTTTCTTCAATCGCGCAGTGGTCGATTTACTGTACATCGCCTGCTCAGCGAAGAAGGATACTAGGAGATCGTTGTCGCCAGCAGCTTCTGCATTGAAACAAATTCAGACAGAGGTCTTTGATAGTGCAATGCAGTATATAAAACCACAAAGCAAATTAAAACAGAAACACCGATTGATGCCTGCGTCGAGTTTATTACGTTCTGTTATTAGAAGCAATTAAAAATTTAGCTCCACCGCTTAAGAAAAAGTAAACGAGCACTTATTTTTCGTAGATTTGCTAGTGACAAATATTACTAACAAATTAATAAGCTAATGTCTGCATTTTCTCAAATCGAATATATAAGGACGCCAACCTTGAGTCTCTTTGAATTTAGCCTTGGCGGCTTTTTCTTCCTTCTGGTCGGCGGTGGCGTTCCTGTCGGCCGCTTTTTCTTTTCGCTTTCGGTCATTATCTTTCATTTCTTTTTTCAATTTTTTAAACTCGTTGCGAGTTTTCTCACTAGAATGTAAAAAAAATGTTAATAATGAAACATTGTGCCGTCGACTTTTTCTGTTGTTATATATGATGCATGATGTAAACTGCCTATGTTGCTAATCAGAATCAAAAATGGGCTCTGATAAACGCGCCATAACATGGAATGCATGTAAAAGAGAATAATGGTACTCTCACCTGCCCTAATTATTGAACCTTATTCAATATTTTTGTATAAATAATTAGTCATGGCTAGTCATAATCCATGAGTATGATTATCTAAAACATTGTGTGATAAAACGTGAAACAACAATATCATTTCGTCTAACCGATATGCTATGCCAACACGGTAATCAAACAAAGGTGATTGCATGTAGCACATAATGACAAGAACAAAATTTCAACCAGACCGAATTATAACCTGAAGTAAGTTACTTCATTCTATTTCTCCGCCAAATTAGTAATCATTCTGTGCTATTTGTACATGCCCAAAATACAATAACCTACACAAGCCCATCTGGCTGTATCCTATAAAATCTTTAGCAAAATGTAGCTCCGACATAGGCTAGTCGGCAGTTGAAAAATGAGGTAGTTAGGTCTTCCTTTAGAGTTTAACAGTGAAGCACGGAACCAATACCTGGCTTACTTAGATAGAATTACGCTTATATATTCGGCCGAAAAAAATCCAGTAATCCGAATCACACCGATTGTGTTTTCTCATTAGAAAGAAACCAAATGGCCAATGTACACCATAACCCATAGTCTTACTATTTTTCACATTTTGTAGAGGAATAAACACTCCAATTGATATAATAAACTTCAGAGACTTTGCAAATACATATACTTACATTTCTTTACGAGCTCTTTGTTTACGTTCTTCTTCAAAGTAGTTGTCCACGTTTACATCAGGCTCAGGTGTCTCGCGAGTGTTATGACGTCGGTCACTCTTTTCTTTAATTTTTTCCCGAATCCGTTCCACAGATGCGGACTCCTTGGAGCCTTCTGTTATACGTAAGAAAGGCGGTAGGGAAAGAAAATAGCAATAAATTAAACATTTTCCGTTTAATCTCGGGTCATCTTTAAAACCTTTTTTGTAGTGCATTAGAAACGCGGCGCAGGAGCTGAACAAAAGTCGAGTCGATAAGCTTGTATTTAACTTATCGCCCTCTGATGCAATCATTTGTACTTTTGGCTCAACCGACCTTGTCTCTTGTTGACTTTCGACGAATCTCGCTCTGAGCTGTCGTCCGAGTCGAGTTCACGAATAAATGCTGGCTGGGAGGACAATGTCTTGTCGTCCTTGAGCAGATCGTGGCTGCTTTTGCTTTTGCCACGAAACTGTTTCTGGACAATTTCGGTCAACTCTTCTTCCTCTTCCTCGGCCTCGTCACCAAAGGAGAGTAGCTTGAAATCCCTGTGCCCGTACGTTGAGAATTAAGGGATATTTGTTAGAAAAAATATCTTGAAAGTAATGCTACTCGTTGTATGGCTCGAACAGTATAATAGTTTGTCGTTTAATTAAACGCTATGTTTCCTTGTGCCATATGATTCTCTCGATCGGAAAAATGGACACATACTTTTTGCCTTTGTCCTTGCTTCTCTTGCGGTCCTCGTGAAGCCGATCTGTAGCCTCTTTATCTTTACTTTTTCTCGGCTCAATATCCGGAAAAGGGTTATCGATGACTTCGGCTCGACGAATTTTTTGCGGAAATGTAGGCCTATCGTCTGCATCGACGTCGACGTCTTCAAGCTTCAACATATTGTACAGTGTGTCGCCAGCAACCTGTCAATACGACGCAAAATAGAAACAATAACGGAATAAAGGAAAGTCAACATTGATGTTCTATGTAAAATGTCGATGCTATCTGTCAGAGCAACACCAGCAAATGATACAGCTTTCAAAGAAGGACGTGGAATCATTAATCACTTTTCTTTTTGTTTAAGTGCTTTGAATAAATTAAGTAGGATTTTAGTTTAGTTATTTTTGAGTACATTCATAAATAATGTCAAATATTATATAGTTGAGAGTTCTCAGTCCCTTCAAGATTTCCAATAATGTGCCGATCATTTTCATCACTTTTTTACCCGACTCCACCAATTCAGAACAATTCTGTTACCTTTCCAAAAATAGTATGCTTATTATTCAGGTGCGGTGTCGCAGCCAGTGTAAAGAAAAACTGCGACCCATTGTCATCTTTACCGCCGGAGGCCATAGCGATAAGGCCACGACGGACAAAGCGAAGTCTCGAATGAAACTCGTCCTGCAAAACCAGAATATGAGTTTTCTTAATTTTTAAAAAAGACAGTAAAATTCCTCTAGGAAGAAGTGTAATAGCTCAAAAGACAACGTGCAGAGTGAAAAAGACAATTAAGACTTTTGATTTATGAATTTCTCGTAAGACCCAACTAAATTTATAAAAGCATTCCCCTAATTAGCCGCCTCGATATCAAGCAAAAATTAAATATGTTTCCGGTTTTGCCAGTTATAGGCAACTCACCACTGTAAGACGTAAATTTTAGTGCTATTATGGATAATTTATTGTGTTAACACAAGTAGTTAATAGGAACGTTTACGGTACCCGAAAGGGTTTGCCGTAGATGCTCTGTCCCCCCTCGCCGGTACCCGTGGGATCACCTCCTTGAACGCACATGCCCTTGATAAGACGGTGAAAAATTGTTCCATCATAGAAGCCTTCGAGACACAACTGGACAAAATTACGACACGCTTTCGGGGTCTCCTTTGACCAAAGCTCAATATCGATTGGCCCAACTGTTGTGTGTAAAATCACCTGTGGACGAAGGAATATTGGTTACAGTATAAAACTGAAGCACTATCAAAAAGTTATAGGAATAAGAAAGTAATTATATTTTTTTCAGTGCTTATTGTTATGCAAATTTCAATTTTTCTATACCTCAGAGCACAATTTCTATATAATATATTAGTACTGTTACTGTACATTTAACTTTTTATACTTGAATAACGGTTTATGTTTGTGAAGGTACTGGAGATACACTTTACTATTTAACCTAAAAAAAATTATCACAGAATTATGACAAATAAACATTGTCATGTAACTGTTATTTCACTTTTGCAGGTTAAAACAAATGACGAGAATGCCGGGATGTTCGACAATCGTGGTGCACAAGAAGTTTTGTCTCCTCAGTAAGAATTGCCGAATAATCGATTATACTTCAATGAAAGCTCAGGTGACTGAATTCTTTCAATAAGCTGTCTTTTACTTTTACAGCAATCTGTAGTAATATCAGCACCATAATAAGATGGTCATGCGAGGAGATGCATTTAACTTTAGAATATGGATTAAATATTTCACCGGAACCGGGATTTATGGTACCGGCCCGAAATTCAACCAAATAGTTAGGTAAAAAAAGCTGCCGTTTTCAACTTATGCTTGTGATCGCTGAGATACAAACGCAATACGTTATTCTATGTCTCAGTTCAAAAACGTAACGGAAACGTAGTAAATGATTTTCAGGAAAAAAGCTGACTGAACGAGTTGCGGCCACTCAAGCTTTCAATGTGCTCAGTGTGCGACTATTTTAGGAATAGGAGGGGCGCCGTAACGACACTGATGTTGCTGTTCAAAGATTGCACAGCTGAGAGAAAGCTTAAAATATACCAAGAAAAATGTTCTGTTATAGCAGCATTGGCAATCTCAGGTAAGCACACGATTCGCAAGAAATGGCGCCTAGAGATACCTAAAGCAAATAGATGCTTAAAATAATGCTTTCCCTTTTTAGCATCGATGATGAAGCAATAGAAGCACTCTAGACATCTATATTAGGTCTAAAACGCAAGTTGTTACTACTATAAGAAAAACATACAAGGAAAGCATTTGTGTAATAAGAACATTTAGCTTCTATGGGCATATGGTTGGTTGGTATATATGACTACTTTTAATACACATTTGTCGTCTGTCAGCATCTGGACACTCATAGGAAGCCTTGGTATGTAGCGCGGGTAAACGCGCTTTGCATTTTGTGTCAATTTATATGAAGTCCCTGGCGTGATAAAAAATCAGTGTCGTTCTCTCCTTCCTGTAGCCATTTTACCCCGTATTTTTTTTAAAATAAAGACCATCTCTGCTTCTGGAATCCGCGCGAATATGCACGAACGGCTTTCCACTCACCTTCCCATTTGTAGGCGGCTCCTGAATGTAAATATTACTCATTCTTTAGGTTTAAGTTAGCGTCACATAAAAACCTGACACTTTCAAAATTCAAAGCTCATATTTTTGCGTTTATAATAATACACAATATTACATTGTAATAACACTAAATCGAATTTCTGTCTCTCGAAGAGTGAGGGATCTTTGGTTAAGCCGATAGAACGACGACACTTCGTTCGAAATTCACTTGGCCAACAACCAGCGTAACGGAGCCAGATTGTTTTGTTTACAATCGAAGCGCCGGCTACCTACCTCTTTTGGCCACTCCTTTTCCGGCTGATCTCAATATATTTTTCATACCATCGATGACAGATTTCCTCGATTTGAAAGCCGTTCTGTATTTTAGTCCGAGAGAATTATTCACAGAAAAATGATAACATCCGTAAAATATTCCAGTTACGGAAAGACGTCGAGTATGAATGTGATTGTGCGTTTCTTATCATTTTAAGCAAACGGTGATTTAGTATATTATTAATTCTATATACTTCCGAGTAGCTTTTTGCGAAATGGTCGATGTTTTAATTATTTCGGGACGTTTTCATGCGTTCTGACGCATGTATTACTTCCTGTGTGTTTCCTATGGTTCGATAAGGTCTTCGCATGACGTTGATATCTATGTAATATTAATAATAATTTTGAGTTCAGTATTATTATTATTAACTAAGTAAATAGTTTTTGCCTGGTCCCCCTCCCCCTCCGCTTTATAAGGATCTAGTGCACCGAGACCTTAGCCTCCTGAAAACTATTACTATTATTTAAAAAATAATGTCATAACGTAAGCTTCAACAGTTTGTATTTCCCCGCCTTTATCTCCGCTCTACTTTCCTATTCTCGCTGTCGTTGCTGCATAAGTAGCAAAAAGCTCCGTCTAGCAAGCTACCTCACGATGTCGTCTGCAAACCATCGCAGCCACTATTGGGAATCCTCGACCACTAACCGCTCTAAATCTCAATCATCATTGTGATATTCTCCGCCGCTATTTTATCTCACCGACGAATCAGTGTCTACGATTGTGGTGACGCTGTTACAGTGTCTTGGTCAAAGTGTATGTCAGTTTGTCAGGCCCAGATCGGTAGAAAATCCACCGCTGTAATAACACTATATTGCTGCAAAACTTGTGATTTTTGCTTAGTCAGCCGCCGCCGCCGCACTTTGAACTCGCCGAAATCGTCTATTCAGCATCGAGATGTCTTCCGCTGGCAGCGGTGCTACTTCAGCGGTTGACGAGGTAATACAGCAGTTTGCGACGATTACTGGCGTTGAGTCGGATCGGGCACGGTTCTACCTCGATTCAGCCGGCTGGGATCTCAATGTGAGTGGGCAAGTTATTGCTTTGAGATACACGACGCAGCAGACAGTCTTTCTTAAATCACTGATTCGATTATGACGGACGCGATTTTATGCTATCACTAGAAAAATTGAATTACCACCCAATGGGCTGAAATGACAAATAGAAACAGTGGCATACACCAGGCAAACTAACAAAAAGAACCTCCAAAAAAGTCCAGATAGTCATATTACCCCTGTAGACATATGAATTTACTGCGCGTTCTACCACACAGTAGTATTGCTTTAGTACGTGTTTGCGCGTGTCAAAGCCGGCAACAATGGCTGGCGGCTTCCTGTGTGGCACGGGCATGTTAAATTGGTGGTCGTAGCAGTATGGCATATCGAGGCTTCAAGGGCCTTTCGTTACATGATTCATTCTGTTGAGCCGATACCTGAGCATACAACTGGGATAGAACTTGTGTGTTAGGCCAATTGCAGTGTAAGGTATGTCTATATGAAAACATGCAAATAATAGAATGTGTGCCGAATCAATATAGAAGGGATTAGCCATGTGTGTAAGTGGATTATGTATAACTGGGAAATCATAAATCATGCGAAATTATAATGGCTGGTCCGCTCAACCGTTCTGGGCTTAGTAATAATTCAGAATAGAGCAGTAGGACTTTTTTATTCAGTTCCATTCACATATGTTGTTTCGCGTTGAAATCGGCAATGTTGTATGTGCATAGAACTTAAGCATCTATAGTACCAGCTCGCAATTTGTGTACTGTATTTTTATGATATAATAAAGCTCTGTGATAATTGTTATCCTCGTAGTCACGGACAGCGGGTGAACACTTAACAGTACAATGTTCGGTATCAGTGGCGAAAATGACATGAAACCTACGCTAAACCTTTGTCGTGGCAACAGATCGGATGAAAATGTAATGTTGTAAATGTTGTACCAAATGCATAAGATATTCACCTTAACGCATTTTGTACAAGGGCTACATTATAATTTATTTGAGGTAATATAGAATGCTGAATTTATACGAGAAAAAACCTATTTAATTCTATTGTTAGCCGACAGCTTACGACATTGCGATACTAATTATCAAGAAATGTTCTTTTTGCTAATAGAAGTTAAAATGATCTGCAAACAAATGGCGTTCGTGGCCTGTTGACAGATTCATATTGTACATGTTTATTGGACAGTTGAAAACGTATTGAAGATTAAGCCAAAATTTAAGTGTCTTACAAAAATATCACTAAACTAAATGTGCCAAATTCTGATGGGTGACGTTCTCCCATTTTTTGGTAACATAATTTATATGGTTACTAAACAAAAAATCGTAACAACTTCCATTAAAACTAAATTAACACCATTAGGGATACAGATGGTGCGAGATTTTGGCTATACGGCGTTAAAATATCCTTGTTAAGTTTTCTGTTCTTGCCGGTAGCTAAAAATATATTCGGTGCGGCGTAGTCATAATTGAAGACAATGCCTCCTCTGTTCTGTAATTTCGGTCGATCTTTTTTTGGTGGATTGTTGTAGTCTTGTGATTTGTTAGCAGAAGAACTTTTAGTTAATCGACGGCATCAGCTTATTATAGACAATTCTTTCCCAGTTCTACCAAACACAAGCATCAGTTTTGATTGGCGCCAGAAATGATAAAGCGCTTTGTTTTCCTAACCTAGTTGTTTAACGCCGTGATCAACCGTTAAAGATGGTTCGATTTCGCAGATCTATTTACGATCAAATGCTTTTGGGTCGACTGGCATGGCAATTGCAACGTCAAGGTTCTTTCTGTAACCAGCTTTCTTTAAACGATTCAAAATTATTCGGTGGTAGATGTCATCTTCCTTGGAGATGTTATGGTTTTTTAAGTGTAGGTATAGCTTAATTTACGCAATAATTTGATCAATTTGTTCGGCGTGATTCTTATTACCTGCTACCTTAGAGCAATCTACGAAAAAAATTGCCAATAGTTTTTCGATAACCCAGTATACTGTACAGTAAAATGAAGACTTAAATTTATCACGAGGCTTTTATCCGGATTCTGCAGGTGTAATCATCATTTTGTATTCCTGTGGAGCAATTTTATCGATCTAAGTGCGTGCATTGTTTCCCGTATACGTTCTATCCATTAGTGGTAGTACTCTAATAGTAAAAATAATGATACAGTTGATCATCACATTGCGCGACAAAGTTATGTCGACCTCACATGTCATAGGAATGATGGCACCAGTTAAGCAGATCTCCGGTTACTAAGTGCAGTAATACGAATTCCTAAATTGTATGTACTATTTTTAGAATACTCGATCTTCATATATTTTGCCTTTTTTCAGTTTCACGTCAACCTAGGTATTCTGGAGACATGCTTTTTCCTTTAGTAATACGTTTATTCTAATTTTTCCATCGCATGGCTTAGGTCAGCACATTTTAACTAATTGGAACAATCCTAATAATAAAATAAAATTACGTTTGGGAGTAAAATGCGGATATAAAAATGCACCATGCATTTTTATACCCGCAAAGTCGCCAAGTTTTGTTGGTGCACACAGCTGTCATAAAGCATATGTTAAATATCGCATTTTCAATACGACGTTTAGCTTATTGAATCAAAATCAACGGTTCTGAACCTTTATTAAGGTGGATTTACTCCAATTTCCCATTTCCAATTTCCAAGTTAGCCCAATGTCTTACCGATATTTACGATTACGAAAATAATAGTATTATTAATAATATGAAATCAGCTATGAAATTAGGTATTTCGAAGTAGATGCGCCTTTGGTTTTCCAAAGGGGCAGAGTTGTACTCGAAAGTTCATAAATGCAGATTTACCTGACGACCGGTTTCGACCATTGAAATACGCGCTTTCGAAATCACACCTACGAAGTCTCTGATCTCAGTACGCGTAAAGCAGACGGATGCCAGAACATCACGGTAACAGGTGTCTCTTAGTTAGTGTCTCTGCTTAGATAGGCTAGGTATGGCCCATCAACAGGTCCCATTAAAGCGTTCAGTTTTGTTTAGCGGACTAAACTGCTAAATCATTATCTATTTTATTACGCACGGTTGATACGTCAATGGCTACTCGTTTTGGCGTAAATTTGTGCTCCTCAATCGAATATCTCTTTTTCTAAAAATAAAAACGATATCTTCAAATGGTTTTTGTATGTAATTAAGTGCTTAGGATATGAACACGACGACCAAACACGATTACGTTATGTGATATTTTTTTTTTTCTTTTATCGGTACCTTTGCTAGCACTTAAAAGTTGTGAAAAGTTGAACCTGTACATAAAAGTACAGGTTAGACTAGTGCTTGTATTGTATTTATTATTAAAGACCCGGAAAACATTTTTGGCTAGTTCGTTTTTATTAAATCTTTCCCTATTTGTAAAGCGACGTAATACTTGTTATCAACATTTCATATCGTGATATGCCTGCTGATTTTAAGTATTACATGAGAACGGTGCATTACAGTGGCCATTTGAATTATTGGAATGTAAATTTTAAGCGGTGAAAAATTGCCTGTGTTGATAGCACACGCATCCTCTAAGAAATGCTGTCGTTCTCGTTTGTAATTTAATTAATTTACTCTTTCTCAGGCTATTCTAATGCCTAACAAAAACAACCTTTCGATGTTTGCCTCTTTTTCAAACCTTTTAGCTAGCGCTTTCATCTTTTTACGAGGATCTTCCGGAATCGGTCAATCTTGACGGAGAAAATCCTATCGTTCCGTCTGTAGCCTCTCGGCCCAACGTGGAAGCCATCTCTGCGACAAAGCCTCCCACTGATCTTGCGCAAAACAACATGTCACGGTATACACACATACGGCTACTTAATCTTTTTATTTAAATGCGAAACGCTTGTCTACTTTGGTTACTTATCAATCAATTTATAAGAGATAATGTTTTCACATGGTATGGCATAATATTTTGTACTTTTCAGTAGTACAAAAAGAACAAACCTTTGTACTCTTTGAGAAATGCACAGCGCCGACCATTTTTTTACTCTGTACAGTTAATAATTTGGCCGAAGACCAACTTAAGTCAAACTATTTGCTACCTAAAAAAAAAAGGCAAAGGACCCGACAATCTTTTCGGCTAAACAGCTTAAATACCTGACACAAACACGAAAAACATTTCAAATTATTTGTTTGCACCTCAGATAAAAATATCCTTATCAGAAATGCAATAAGTTAAGCGTTTCAACGAAAACTTACAGATCTAGTTTTTATTGACTATCAAGTATAAATTTTCTTTTTTTTCTTTCAAATTTCCTCACAGCGCCAAAAAGACCGGTGAAAGGTGAGGATTGCTACTCCTATTACGTAGATGTTTACTTTATGATAATATCATGCCATTAGATCGAAAGTTATACTTCCTGTGCAGTATTACACAATGCGAGCTCTTTGGTTCACCAATAAGCTTAGGATTTCAACGCTAGCACACATTAGTTTTTTTTTAATAATAATGGCCTAATTTCTTAATAATAACAAACTCCTATTGGCGATTCTCTACATTTGACATATGGAAAAAGAGAGATTACTATGAACCAAATCATCCGGCTTCATTCGTCTAATTCGTACACTTCACATGCTTTATTTTCCCAGTAACACAAAAAAGCCCGCCACAAGGTAAGAGATGCTGTCTTCCGTACCACTTCTCGTAGAGTAGACCGTTTCGCTTGAATGCTTTATTTGAGTATTTCACTCACATAGTTATCTAGGCTTATAGAAACACATATTCTAACTACACTTCCTATGAGAGCTGAGTTGATGGTCGCACTAATTCTTTTTCATTTGTCTGACTTGGACAGTTTAAAGAAGCGTGGTGCGAAGTAAGAATTACTTTGAGTGCCCTATTCTTGAAAAGGCTTAGATCATATGCTGGTTAAACCTTGAAATAAAAAAAGATTGATTTGGAAAGATGTTAACTTCCGTATAGAATTAACGGAGAGCATGTCGGCAATTCGCATTAGGAGAATTTTTTACCATTCCAAAACGCGCAGGCCCTAGAATTCGTTAGCTGTACTGGCAAGAGTGAGAAGCAGATGTAATGCAACAAAGCAAAGCATGCTGATAATCATAATAGTAACAGTAACAGTTGAGTCTGTTTGTTTGGCAAAGTATTACAAAATATAGGGCCACTCTGCATTGCAATTGATCTGCTATGGGGTAAAACCTTTTAATAATTAAGAGGTGGTCTCATTGTCTATATAACGTATTGCATATTTAACTTAGGCTGTAGAAGCGCTCTCTTTTCATAGGTGAATATTATGCTCTTATTATTTTATCTTACTCGTTCGTCGTTATCTTCTGTGTCTATACACTGGGCTAGATTCGTCTACTTTTATAATTAACGATCTTCTGTATAACGGTTCGTTTGTAATTTGCAGTCATTCAAATATAGTTACCTTTTTCATTAAGCGACAGGCAAATCCGCACATTCCGCGACCTCAACAACGGATCCGGGAGTTCCGACAGTGAAGAGGAGGGCCAGAGATTTTTCGCTGGGGGTTCGGAACACAGTGGCCAACAAGTACTCGGTCCGCCGGGAAGGAAGAAGCTTGATGCCAACGAACTCGTACAGAGCATTTTCGAGCAGGCGCGCGCACATGGAGCCACGGTAAGTGTAAGTTACTTTTATTCCCTGTTACACAATTTGACGCTGAAACTTTGGTTAAAAAGACAAAAGGTCACTGCTGCTTTAGTTTCATAAACGTGCCAGATACCGTACTACACAACATCTTTCTTTCTATGATACATTTTCTAACCAGCTGTAATTCGCTCTATATTATGTCGTCATTTCTGTTGTTAATTCCCCGTGATGACAAAGAAACGAACATAACTTAATTTCATGTAAACACAAGGCAGCTGGCGGCACCCAATATTGACACTGCAATGTCGTTCTGCTCTTGTGAACTACGCCTGCTCTCTAAGCAAGTTTTATTTCGTGAATCTATTGTCAACGGCTAGGTGTTGAAAGATCCCCAATCCTGAGCCACACTTAAACCCTGCATTATGGGTTATTTCACGTGAAACTTATCTTTGCTTATCCTTTGATGCAATGCCCAGGCAGCCGAACACGAGCCCCGTGCCACGCGGTTAGCTTTTTCCGGCGTGGGCTTCCGACTGGGCGCTGACGAGCAGCAACCGCTACAAAAGTCGTCAGGCACAAGTGGAGCTCCCGGCAGCGGTGTTGCAAGTCAGGACTCGAATGTGGCAGGCGGATTTCCAGTTTCAGTTGATATCAGCTTGTGGCATGATGGTTTCACCGTTGACAATGGCCCGCTTCGTCGATACGACACTCCTGAAGGGAAGGAGTTTATTGACTCCATCAAGAGCGGGTTAGTTTAGTTCGCGAATTCTTTATATATTTTTCAAATGCTGTGCTTGTGGACTAAATAATGCGTTATATATAACGCATTATTCAGTCCACAAATAATGCGCTACTCACTTCAACATTTAAATTCTATCTGATAAAAAAAACTAAACTCTGCATAAAGCGGATCTCGGGACGAAAATGGTAACGAGTCGCCTGGCAATATTTAGCTTGACGGAGAAATGCGTTGAAAAACATCAGTATTAATGTAAAATAAATCAACGGTTATTTTCTTTTTAAAGTGGCATCAATATTTCTATAATTAACATTTAAATGGTTAGGGCGTAGCTTTTTAATTTACTGGAAGAATAGGCAGTGCTGTCAACCCAACTTGAGGACGTACGGTATCCTGCAGTTACGTATCAATTAATAAGCACTTTGGTAATTCCACTCTTAAACATTTCAAATACTTCTAGATTAGACTAGTTGCTGTATAGTTTTATATATTTATTTATTGTCCCTATTTTTCTCTTTTTGAGCCGCATATTTTTTTCCACTGCTGTCTGTCAATAGGGTGATTCCGCCTGAGCTATATAGCATGGCAAATAGCGGCGAGGTGAGTGTGGATCTGAATGACCGTCGCTATGAAGAATACGTTCCACCTAAACGCATGACAAAAGCTTTCACCGGCGAGGGTCATCGGTTAGGCAACGTCGAACCCGCCGTGGTCCCGCCGAAACCCGAAGGGGCCTGTGCTGATCTGGCGGCTTGCGAAGCGCAGGCATCGCGCGAAATCAATCTTGACGAATCCAAGCCAACGACGAATATTCAGATTCGTCTAGCTGATGGAAGTCGTTTAATTGCTAAGCTGAACCATTCGAACACAATCGATGACCTCAGGTAAAAGTCTAAAGGACACAGGGCGGATATACTACTCACCCGTTGTTTTGCGTGCATATTGTATACGTTGTGCAATTAGTATGTCTGTATAAACAATAGATTGGTTAGGATTATGACAAATAAAATAGTTTGTATGAACTCGAAAAATCTGAAGTTAAAATTTCTTTCTTAAACGTTCATCAATCAACTGGATTTCGACAATTTAATTTCTTAGCTCAACTGTTCGAAAAAATTATTCTAAATTTGCCTTTCTGATGTGATTTTATGCATCTTTCAGACGCTACCTTGTAACTGCCCGACCACAGTATGCAGCGAGTACGTTTGTTCTAATGACAACTTTTCCCAACAAGGAGCTCACTGAAGGCGCTCAGAGTCTAGCGGATGCTAAACTTCTTGGCGCCGTGGTTGTCCAGAGGCTGAAATAGAAGGTCCTTGAGTAGACTTGTTTCATGCCAGTGGCGTAAAAATCTTTGCAAAGAGTTCCCTAAAAATTTTTGGTGCCTCATAACCGTCCAGTGACGGGCGTTGGTCACTTTCGTAACCTACAATGTTTCTTTGCGACCTACCCTTAACACACAAACGAAACAAAGATAACGTATACCTGTTATGTGTGTGAAATTCCCTACATTTTTTTTGTGTACAGATTGCTGTTATCAAGTTCATTACTCTGTAGGAAACTTGCACACAAATACACATTGAAGTCGTTTTCTGTGGTGCGAAACAGGAAAAAAGGCGAGGGTCATTTTATTAGGCACCATTTTGAGAGTAGATGTAAAAATTATGGAAATTAGATTAATCAAGAGAAAACGACGAATGAGGGCAGCCACAGAAGGTCTCACAGTTCGTTTTACATAGACCTAAACAAGCTTTCCCCCTGGAACAAGGGGAGTCTCATCTGGACTTCCGCCATTGAGTAGATGAGATGCACTTAATGTTAATAACAATAACAAGAACATATATATATATATCATATGAGAATAGAAATACTACGTAAAAAGGAATAAACAGGAAAAAAGAATGACAAAAGACGCAAATTGCAAGACAAGGAAGGCATCGCTGACACGACGAGGCTCATTTTAACCATCAGCTGAACAATTGCATATAACGACAAGAGAGTAATTAACAATCATATTGATAATAATCATAATAAATATGATAAATGCTGATGAAGAACATTGATTAGTAAAAGTATTTTTTATGGATAGTACTAGAAGCTTGACGAACAGAGGTGCGAGACGTATTGTTGTGCGTGTCCGTATTAATAACCTTTTTGGGGCAACCAACTACCGGTGCTACTGTATGGGGACGTGGGAGAAGCGTGATGTTCGCATACTTTCACTGAAACGAACACAATTGGTCAGAATGAGAAAAACATTAATATTAATAGTAAATAAATATTAATCAAAACATATAAAAAATAAATAGATGATACTCCTCAAAAAAGCGTCTACGAGTCTTCCGTCTTTATTTATTCTTTTCGAAGAATATTCGAAGAGAAAAATATTTTCAATATTGAATCTGTTTCATTTTCATTATTTACACTTTATTTACACAAAGATGCAATCTAAATCCACTCTTCAGTAGTTCGATAATAAAGTTATTGTAAATGGCAAGAAGACTATCTTTATAAACAAGCAAAGTTACAAGCTAATTCCTCTTCAATAACTGTAGCTGTACAAGAAATAATAAGAGCTGTATAAGAAATGCTGATTTTTTACCTTAGATATGTTGTAATGATTTTGTGTTGTTTATTATCACAATGTTTTTACATCCACCAATATTTATACTCGAAATTGCGTATCTTATATACAGAGTCTATGTAAAATACTGTGGTCAATAAAAAATGCTAATAGTTCGGAATTTCTTTTCGCTCCTCAAGTCTTGCCGTATGGATTTTTATTATTATATAGTGCTGAACACGATAACCTCTGTGATTCCAAAAACTCGATCGTTGTTTCAGTACGTGGAAAATATTCTCTTTCATTAGTCGACAGACTAGAATGCGAAGTGATAGATAGTAGTAATATTCAACGAGCGAAAATGTAATTACACTTTGCAATTGACTTAAATATTTGCATTGTTCAGATATTGTTGTAATCACAGTTAAGGCTCACTAGTTGACAGTTTTTTCAATCTCCATACTATATTCACAATGTATATTATAACATGTTAAACGTTGCTTAAAAATCGTGTCACCCTATTTTTACTAGGGAATTTTACTAATACAAATCCTTGCGTACGTTGGAACCTTATATAGGTTACCTTATCCATGTGTTCCTGAGCATATAATATCTGAATGATTAACTTTTATGCCGAAGGTTTTAAAACATAGCACGGTCACGTCTGATGAGCAGCTGCATACTACTATTGTGCACCCAAATGCCTTTTACGAGTGTGTTAGCTCAAAAAAGTTCTCGTACTTCGTAAAATTTGTTTATTTAGACTTATTTACAAAAGTCGCTTTTATGTACGAATATCAAGTACATTATAGAATAATTATGTCTATTTTTCCACGACCAACGTCTACTTTTTAATCAAAATACCTTATAAAAAGTCTTACAAATCAGGATAATTTTCCTATCGCTTCAATATTAATGCTTAGCAGTTTCGGTTCCCATAAACCAATCAGTCTTTTTGTACTTGTCAAAATATCTCGGAAGAAACTCTACATTTTATGCATTCTTTATGATAAGCCAATGCCTATCCGCAAGTAGAAGGGAAACTACTTGAGGAAATGTAATTAAATGCCTTATACGTAGATAAATGCCTCTATAGATAAAAGAAGTACATAGATAACATTTACAGATTTATTTCTCTGTGTCGATCGTTCTCATGAATACCATTAGTAGATAGGATTTGCAGATTCATGAGGCTGATGGAAAGAAACAGGGCAGGTTTAAAGCAACCGACGCATGAAATCTTTAGTAAACTACTAAATTTAGTTCAATTTTTATTCGCACAGAAGCGCTTCATATCATGTAAAAATTTTCGATTGCCGGTACGTTCTATCTAGTATTACTTGTATGCTTTTCATTAGCAGTTGATCGTTTGCCCTTATTAAAAAAAGGCATGCCGACAAGAACTACAACCCTGCTTCGGTCCTAGTTGACCCACTCGGGCATAGATAGCTCTGGCAGAGTTATTTTTACCCTTTCTTTGTAAATTCACCCTAAGCAATAAGATGGTACGTAGATGATTTCTGGTGTATTGCCTGTTTGTATAGTTTAGAGCCAAAAAGCGCCTCGTGCAATTTTGTAAGCTGTATATCAACAAATGAAGCTTTATTTTCTTGTTGTAGCTGCTGCAGAAGGTTGTTTTTGCGTAGCCAAAAATGCATATGTTTACATGACGTGTAGACATTTAAGTGAGCACTTTCCTCGCTCAAGTAGCTGATATGGCTGGTGCCAGCATAGGACATCCCGCCACGTAAAAGCCTCTTGAGTAATACAAGGCTACCAGCGTGAACAATTACAATCCGATGTTGTTTATCGTTGCGGCTGAAGCGAGTTTTTCGCAATGTGACAAATGGGTAGTTGAGCGCTGATGCGATCACGTCGTCCGGGAACTCGTCACAAAAGAGTCGCTCATGAACTGCAAGAACCTGAGAGGAAAATAAATCACGGGGGAAAATGTGGGTAAGTGTGGGAATGGATCTTCCATATATGAGGAGACTATAAAGGGAATTATTCTCCGAAGGTTGGAAACGTTCGTAAAGCGGAGTGTCTGGATATGTTCTTCATCTTGAAACAGTACACATTGTGATACTTCATATAAAAAAAAATGTAAGGATTACAGTTGTTATGGTGGTTGTTGTAATGTATACGACGAGAAGCCTTTGTTCTGTGAGCGTTGGGAAAATAAAAAGAGTCTACCGGACATACTGTAATGGCGAGAATACGAATGAGCGAAATTTTTTTTTCATCTCGGCACACTATCATTTATTCGGCAAACTGAAGAATTGGACGACACAAAATACCGCGACGTAGTTGCTTACCTGACCGGGTTGTAGGACGGCGGCAAGGAGTGACGTCATATTAAATTGGTCCCTACGTATCACGAAATATTCGTTAAGCTTAAGTACGGCGACGTATTTCGATGTCAATCCTGACCTTAACAAGCAATCAGCCTTCAAAATGGCTTCCATCAGCGATTCGTCCACAGACACCGGCACGTTCCACTGGATTAGCTGCGAATTCAGCGACGTTTGAATAAACCCCGCTCGCTTCACAAACGTCTTCACATTAGTTGGTAAACCCTCATCATAGACGTAGAAATTGGCAACTCCAAGGCGATTATAGTACGTCATGAATTCGGCCAGCTCTATCTCATCAGCTGAGGAGATATTCAATGGTCGAACACAAACAGCGACATTTTCCGATATGGAAAGAGTACTAGCTGGTGCGGCAAGAACTTCTATTGGAAGTGAGACGCCGCTGACTTCGACCATCAGCGGAGTCGTTGTCACATTCGTATTGGAACAATGAACCGCCATAGCCCAGTGGTCATTTGTTGACGCCAGAACGCTGACCGTTGCTACGACATCAATCACGGTCCTTTGATCTAACCAAAGACGGCACGCGCCCGGCTTTGTAGGCGCTACCATAAGCAGAGTGACCTTGGCATCGTGCGGCGAATAGAATGCCGTGTAGATGAAGCCTGATAAGGCGGTTTGCTTCCAGCTAGGCTCCACGCTATGAGTTAGCGCCAGGTAAGTCCTTTCCAGCTGGGTCCGAAGTGACTCGAGCTGTTGGTGGCACTTCAGTTTTGCATCGGATGTCTGGAACATGTCGGCCACTTCTAGAAATACTTTCATGTGTGAATATCGTCGTTCCATGACGAGAAGCCCGCCGATGGAAAGTACGCAGATGATCACAAGGCCAAGTTGAGCGTACTTTCTCATCATGGATAAATTCAGGTGCCTGTGGCAACAGGCAATGAAGATCTAGAAGGTGACCGTTGCCCAAAACATTGACAGTTACGTTGTCCTTTGGAAAAACTTGCGTAGGTGTGCACGACAGATGATTAGTATGTTCGGTAGACAGAGGCACCTTTAAATTTACATGGAAAATGTGTAAACCATTAAAACGACTATGAGTGTGGGAGAAATCCTAACGGAGAATTTACTCATGAATGAGTATCAAGTTGTTGTTAACGGTATGGTAGCACGTATGTTGTAATAATTTTTCCAATTTTTAAACTACTAGTTTTTTTTATTGATAATTGAATTTGAGCTTCAGTATATATTGAGTAGCAACTACCTATATTCATAATCCAATTTAAGCAATTTCTGACAACATATCTGAGGCATATATATATATCATAACTGTTTAGATGTTCGACTGTTGAATATGTTTGCACGACAGAACGTATTTTCTCGTTTGTCTCTCTTTAGCTTCGCTCCATAATTACATGAGCTGTATATCCTGAAGCATTTATAGCAAAATCAATAACTATTATCTATCTATTATCTTATAACATTTCTTTACGTTCTCCTCACCTATGATAGAGTTTCATTCATATCTGGAAGATGTAGTTGCTGGCCCCGAATCAAATATAACTTTAAAATTACTCCAAAAGAGAAAATCTACTTCATCACTATTAAATTTCAAATCTAGTCGTCTACACTGTTCTTATTAACCCATTTCTGTTTGATAACTCCAACAACACTATAATAACTTACATTTCATTTACATTGGCAATGAGACACGCTCGGGTAGGCACGTTCGAATTCTAGTTTTTTCCGTTTTTATCGCCAAATAAAAAGTTTTTAGAGCAAACTTGTTTTCGTCACATTATCTTAATTATCTTCGCATCCAAAGGTTTTAACACAATATAAATTTCCCACCAGTCTTTGCGGTCCCTACCGGACTGCCACTCGAATTAGTGTAACAACATATGCACCACCCGTCTCACCAACATGCAACAATAGGTAAATACAGCAGGATCATTGTTTTATCTCTCCGCCATCCACGCTAGGCTCGTTCTGTGTTGCTCCAAGCAGTCTCGTCAGATACGCTTTGCCATTTTGTGTGTGTGTCTATCTACTTGGAAATTATTGCCGTCGGCTGTTTCAGTCAGCTGAGCTCCGCGAGCGTATTGACAATTGGAACATGATCACGTGGGCTCTACTGGCATCATTCTGAAAACAAGACGATGCCTTGGCTATCCCAAACATTTTAATCGTAAGCACAATACAGAATGATCGTGAATCAGAGTTGTGAAATTTTACTTTTTTGGCGTTTAATTGAAAAACATGCAAGATATACTATGTACATTTCTAATGGTATTAGTTAGTTAATACTAGTTAGAGGAAAGCATCTTTTGTCACAAGGGATAATGAGGTGTCAATGGCTTATGATTTTTTTAGCCAAGTCGACTTAGTCAACCAAGCTAGCTCATCGGCTACATGTTTATCATTCATAAGAAATGAAAGGACCTTCAATCCACTTCTTGTCGTATTTATCATCAGAAGAAGGCATCGCGGATATTTTTTTGCAATTCTATCCCTCAGTTAAATGTATTATAATTATTTTCAGTATCATTATTACTATTGGTGAGTACTATACAGCTAACCAGTGTGATTAACAATAATAACAATAAATCGTTGTCGAATTCGTTTCGTTATATTGGGCGTAAGGCGTCCATTTGATCAAAACCAAAATACTGCAGTTATTTTCCGGATTCCCTTGAACTGTAACAAGGCTGCTATTGGCTCACCTTAGGGAGATTAGAGCCTGTCTCTCAAACACATCAATTATACTTAACTTTCTTTAATGATACGCATTCTAGCTTTCGTATTGGAAACACATTGCGTATTTTGGCGATTTTATTTGATTCAATTAAAATTACAGCTCAAGTTATTTAGTGGTCTAAGTACCCACAAAAGATCTTATACCGTACGCAACACATGCCTAATTATGCAAATATTGTCGCAGTACCTGTAAATTAAAACACACTAATGTCAAATGTCCAAATATCTACGTTAGTTTCCAGTGAAGGAATTTGCCGCTATTGGCACGTTCATGAGTCAATATCGACCAGCCCGTACCTCCCCAGTCCTTCTTCGACGGATGAGTCCGTAGCGCGCGCCCTATTCAACGGATCTCCATCTAAACCAACGTACACTCTACGAAACCAAACGCGCATTAACACAGCATCTCCCTAGTCGGCATCAGTAGGTCTGGAGGGTGCCACAAATACAGTTGTAACTGCGTCGGTAATGCCTCGTGGGATGTGCATAGTTTAATCTGGTCTGCTTACGAGGCTCTGATCGCAGCCGGCTGCGTTTCACCCAGCAATGAAGTTAACCAGATATTTACGTGAAAAAAAAAATAATTTCATGAACGTCGGTCAACGACTAACTGTTACAGGTCTAATTGGCCTAACGGTAGGCACGATTGCAACCTTTATTTATACGTACATTGATCTCAAGCTGACTCAGAGTGCTACTCGAGGATCGCAGGAGTTGCAGGCATTAACGCAGTCTAAACCGCAAAACTAAGGTAAGCAAAAATAGAAAAAACAAACACAATTGATCTTCAACCGATCGTGAATTGTGGTACTCGTTTCCAACGGTGAACAAGCAAATGATAATAAAAGGGATTTATGGTTTTTACTTGTTACAAGGTAGTTATGGGAGAAAGCAGCATGCGTGTTTTTTGATAGGCGTGTGGAGAAATCTATTTTTGGTGATTCTGGTAATGTCAAGAACGAACGGTGAATTCTTGCATTAGTCGGTGAGCTCACACAAAGCGACTACGTGATTGCAGGAAGCGCTCGGACAGAATCTAGATTATAACGTATGTTTTTATTTTACCTGTAATACTAGTTAAAGCCAAGTTGTCGTTGATGCAATGAGAATAGAAAAGTCTGGTTGTCATGTTAGTAGTGCGGACCGTAGATTCGCATAATTCACTCATCGATGCGTCTGTTTCTACTAAGATTATCTAGTGTTTTTATACCAAGTGGCCAATTTTTCAACAACAAAACAAGTTACATTGTACGAAAAGACATAGACGCCTTGTGATTCTGATGCGGTTTTAGTCGAGACGACGAACGGAATTATTATTAATGACCTGTACTAAAAATTAATTTTGACCGTTGACAGCGGTTATTTGCTTATTATATTTTTTATATAGCAAAAAAAACAAAGGTGAAGGGTTGTTACAGCCGTCGACTACTTCATGAAGATAAAGTTGTCCCTTTTTGCAGACAAAAAAACTGACAATTTCGTTTGGCTCGTTCAGCAATGCATATAATCAAGAATTCTGTAGAAATAGATAAAATTAAGAGCATATTAAGCACTGTTTTTTTACTGTAACGCAGAACCTGTTCTTTTTTAGTTCGATAAGAAAAGGTAACAAAACAACCCGTCGGCGGTGTAGTAAATATAAAACATACATACATATGACAATGACATTTGTCGGCAGCTAAGTAAACATGGATAGGGAGGTGTTACTTTGTATTGCCTGAAGCTAGAAGGAAGCAGCTACAAATATTTATTGTGTACCCATTCATTTCGTCCTTCCGTTGAACTCCGTAATATAGCGAATACTTTTTTTAATTGTTTTTATTTGAACCCCTCGCAATTGTTATTTTAATCTGTGCCTTTCATTTTCAGCTGTTCGTATACAGCGATAGTTGATGCTAGCTTTTCTTGTTGACCACTAGACGGGGAAAACGGTGAGTAATCTACTAACGGGCTAGGTAGCCCGACGAAGGACTGGCCTCTGTTAGCTTCGGAGACAAAGCTAGACTCCAAGGGATTCCGCATTACATAGCTCAATGATGTTACGGCGCCTCACTTAAAGAGACAGCAGAAGTTCTGGAGAGACATGATGGGTCTTGAGGTATTGCAAGCTATGTTCTTCATACTGAATAACGAAGCATGATGTTTCTGAATGACGTTCCTTTCGATGTGGTAGCGGTGGTAGCGATATCGAACTGAACTGTAGTCGAAGGGCGTAACTAATCATAAATATAAGGTAGACTTCGATTCAGTTTTTTCAATACTTAACAAGATCTTAGTGAATCACCCTATCGTTGGGCATATACGCATTTGTCGTTGACTACTAAGATTGAAAAAGACTGATTTGCAATGATTCGACTTGCCTATATGGGGGCAATTACTAGATGCTGGTTCTTTTTTGCATTTGTTTTTAACGGCTCATTTGGAAGTGAATAAAAGTACACTTTACACAAAAGTGAATCTTCTACATCTTATTTGAGCTTGCCAAATTGTCTTCGTTAGTTTTGAGAACGGTAGTTGACCCGATTTTGGCATTGTGTGTTATACATCATTCTAGCTCTGAAATTAAACGTATAAAGGGTGTATGGCATGGTTTTAAGTGCAGCTACCAAAACAAAGGAAGCATCCGTGATAAACTTATTTTGTTAGCAGGCGCCTGCTTACCGGCGCGGGTACACGCACACCCATCTAAAATGCCGATTGCTCATACACAGGTTGCCAATAGATTTTTATGGAGCCGCTGTTGAGTTTGCGAACCTATTAGAGAACGTTCTTTTCAGAACACGCGAAAATTACAAATACTTTAAGGGTAAAAAAGTATAAATAGAACCTCTATTTTAGATCCGGTCCAAAAAATGTGTTTAGCATTCATCAAAAAGTACGTTTAATGTGCTTTTAAAAACTATATACCACGGCCTTAAATTAAATTTAAAAAAGAAAAAAAAATTAAAACATTCACAACTGCTTCATGCGAGTAAACAGCAAAGTCCATCAACGGTGCTTGACATACCTTAATGTTTAGTGCTGGTAAAGACAATCCGCTTATGCAGGGTGCCGGTTTCTAATGTTGTGAGCGTAACGCGCTGGGAGTCCGGCCCCACTTAGAGCCTCAATTCAGTACAGGTCTGCCATCATTAACTAGAGGTAAAGTATGACGTGAATTAAAAGAAGGGGCTTGACTGCTTCGACACTGACAAGTAGTACCTATTTGTCTTAAATATTTTTTGTCTTAACTAGGCGCTACCCGTATTAATGGCTAATGACTATGTTAGATATACCTGAGAAAATTCTAGCTGGCGTTTGTATTATGTTCAGCTTTATGGCAATTAATTACGCACTCTGACTAACTACAGTAGCGATTATTGGCGAAATCTCATGAGAACATTGTACAACTTATTGTGCAAGTTGAAACTTTTAGAAGGTGAAGCTGTACATACATACATGTATACATAAAAATTGTATAGGAAAAAATCGCATTCGTAGTAGTTACAAGTATCACTGTTTGCGCTGACTGCACGCTTTAACTGGGCGTATGTCCGTTGCATTTCTAGGCGAGCTGGTCCACTCTACAGTCGGACCATGGAGTACATACTATATCTATCAAGCGAGACAACTCAAAGCTCAAGTTTTTATCGCCTGCGGAGAAGAAGCCGGGTTCTTCAAATAGAACAAAGACGGAGCAATAAATCATCTTTACTTCGAAGTCGACAACGTCAAAGCTCCTATATAACACATTAAGAAGCGCGGAATCAGGTAAATATAGCATAATAATAAAATATAAACAACGTTTCCATATCGCTACTTAGCTACACGAATACTTCAAATCGACTTCGTTTCATTTAATGATGTAACTAGCTCCTTACTGAATAGCAGCCTATTACGGGGTAAAAGTTTTTGGCTATAGGAAGTCAAGAATTACTCATCTGGGTTTCATGGACCTCCGATACTTCCGTGTTGGAAGTAATGACAGCGATGTCAAAATGAAGAAAATCAGTGGATTATCTGCTCGCTTTTCTTGTCTCTTTGTGGTAATATAGAAGCAACAATATTTAATTGGTTTGCATTAAAACGTTCCCACAAACGCCGTCAAGGCATAATGCCTCAAAGTGATTCTACGTTAACTTCAAATTTATTTTGATAAAAGCAAATTCTCTCTACATTTAAACATTTTAAATGTTCATTCTCAATCGAAGCACGCTTGTGTTACATTATGAACTATGTATTCTCTGGTTTTCTGCTGCGCCTTGTCGCTTGCGAGCTACACGTGTCTAAGTGAAGAACCGGAAATAGGAGCGCACGGGAAACCGGTAGTGTTTCTTCATCCGAAGACTTGCGGCAGCGTTCTCGTGGAGCTTGAAGAAATTTAGATTTATAATCCAAGTTTAAATTATAAGAATGTTGCCTGCTCAATAGAACTACATGCCATGAACGCCTATATCTCCGGTTATTGACGTCTTATCGTATATTAAAACTGTAATGTAAAATAATGTAATAAAAAACCCTTTCCTACAAGAATTGTTAACCGTATTTTTGTATTACAAATGTTAAAGTATAATAGAAAAATAGTTTTATTTTCCTCGATTTCCGTGTGCTATATGTGTGCGCCATGTAGCTGAAGATCAGAATATATAAGAATAATTAATAATCGCTGTCTATTTATAGATGTTTAAAACAGGGCTAGAGGTCTAGGAGAGAATATGAATATGATATATATTTATATATTTATTTTTATAGTATATATTTATATATTATTAATATACAGTATATATATATATATATATATGAAAGAACACGAAAATCAACAGTGTACTGGTTATTATGAATACAGTGCCTGTGAGCTATATTTGTTGTATCTTCCATTAATTGTGTTTCAACAAATTCAGTAGAAGTAGTGTTTCCTCTTTCAATAGATTTCTACGAATATTTAGATTTCACGAGACCCTCGAGCAATATTCCCCTAATTCTACTATTTACTAATATATGTCGATGGCGGATCAGAGCCCCTGATGATTTTAATAATAGGTTTATCAGTTGAAACAACGACGCTCGCTTCTCTATTTGCTTTTTTTGCGTTTGAACAGGAAGTTGAATCTATGATAGATATTTTATCCTAATCATTAATAGGTAACGTATTTGGGCTGTTAGTGTGATATACGACGTGTCTGATTAGAAATTCCTTTGGTTGCTACTTTATAGCCGGAGCCTAATTCCACCCTAAGCAGCCCAAATAAAAACAGTAATGCGGGTCATCCCTGGCGGGAGTTGAACCCGCGACCTTTAGATTAGAAGTCTAACGCGCTATCCACTGCGCTACAGGGACCAGTAATGACCTCAAAGAAAACATTCCTTTTCGGGGATACAAAAATAATTTGTTTTGTCAAATACAAAAATAAATGTTCTGTATGCTTTTCATCTCCTTTCAAAGATAGCTTTATCTCCATAGGAGATGTCGTCTGCGAGCGTCAAGTCTAGCCATCATTATGGGCGATTGAATTTCATCGTGAAAAAGTACAATTCGTAGAAAGGAATTTCGGCGTAAGCGAATGTTAATGACCGCCGTTTTTTGTATCTCTGATTTTTTATATGTCTGACACAGACAAATAATATTATGTCCTATGAAAATAAAACCATTGTCTTAATATTTTTTTATTAATCGGAACAGCTTGAACGACGAGGTATTCATGCCAGGCGGCACTTTTTCAACCATATCTTGCTCTGGATTATGCACGCATTTGCTTAATATTATTAATCCTATTAATCCTATTACGAAGTTTGTTACTAATTGACACTGTTCCACTTACTCTGCGGGCAAATTTTCGGTGATCGTACGATATAGCGATAATTATGCTATTCCATAGCGGGGCATCGGCAGTACATCGAATCCTCACCTGTGAATGCTTGAAAAGTTTATATTCACAGCGTCCTTAACGTTTTTTACCGAGGTTACTGTGAGAAGCGGCTTTACATTCTGGCGTGTTCCGTAAACAGGCCCATACCTTTGTGTAACATCCTAAACAACTTCGTTCCTCCAGCTAATGTAATGTAAGACCAATAGAATTCGTACACTATTCCTGCTTCACGCTAGTAGTACTCCAATTGGTAGATCTTCATATACACCGCAACTACATAAGGCAACATCTTGAGATCTACAGTACTCCGTCAGCGAAGCTGATCAGTTTTAGTTTGAACGCGCCATATCGAAGCGAAAATGTTTGTTTTTCATATGTTTTGTAGCAATTTCAATAGGGAAAACCCTGAGCAGCATTATCCCGGATTAGCCAACGGACTCTGCTCTAACCTCGCCACTTCTAGACCAAACTTTATACTACGCGTTTTGCCGACTTATATAGATGTTCTACTACGGGCGGGTACGGAACAGGACAAGGCTGACGTTTCTAGAGAATATGGAGAGACATTGATGGCTCTAAATATTAGAAGAAAGAGGCGTCGGTCACACTTGAGTAGAAGTATACAACCATAGCGATAAGAGGACGGCTGTTATACGATGATACTAAGGTATATCATGATTTGTTGGTCATCAGAAGCTCGGCGTTAAAAGCAAGTATCATCCGAAACTCGCTCTGCCCATAGGGGCGTTATTACGACGGCTGTCACTCGCCGCACATATCCAGACTGGATTTTATTGAACGGTTACAAGGACACTTATTTGCCCCATTGACCCGTTTATGCTTGGTGATTAAACCAGGTGTCGGACAGGAGATTCATCTTTATATGGGGTATCTAGTAAGCTTCAAACTGGCCTTAACTGTTGATTATCGTTACACTCTGGCACTAGGTAATATAATAAGTATATATGAACACTGGAATGGTAACGCGAAGCTTTTTGTATAAGCTTTAGTATGAATTCGAGCTACATAAGTCTAATTAATTTGTTCTTCTATATTCTGTGTCCACTTTTATTGAAAGTAAGTGCAACACTTTTTAGGCGTGTTTCTAAAAAAAAGTATTAATCTGACTGATCGGGTGGCCTAGAAGGGCGTTTTAGGCCTATTCATACAGATTAATGGAAATGGCTAAAAGTTTTGGTTGGAGCGCGCTCCGTATCCTTTCGTGTCGTTGAGCTAACTGATAACAGCCGTGCCTATCTCGAATGGGAAAAAAAGAGGAATATGGGTTTTGCGAATCTTATCCCTTTTTGTTGGACTAATGTTGGGTAAAGAGAGCGCTATAATTGACTGTTCTGTATTATTACGCCAGGTATTGGACGTGAATATTTAATGAGAACGTCTGCATAAAGACATCTATTTATAAACTGTTGGGGCATAGTCACTCAGTATGGTTCGTTTGCGGTCGTGCTTTAATATGACGAAGGGGCGTTATAAAAGATGTTCGTTAACTATTCGATCGCAGCGTAATTGAAGGCTATTTTCGTAACTATCTCTTTCCCTTCACTTCATCATTGTTTGTTTGGTTCTATACACCATCTATTCTATTCTCTCATGAAATTACAGTATAAACGACGTAGAAAGCAATGATTGCATTGTAATTTCATAGTGCAGTAATCATTAGATATTTTGATACTTGAGATAAATCACACCATACTCTATTCTAATCACAACAAATTCACAGTATTGCCTTTCCGTTGTGAGAGCCAAAACTGCGGATTTGATTTGAACGCATCATTTACGACATAGCTGGACCATTTTCATTTGGAGTGTTCTTATTGTATTTTCAGTCACTGTAGTACGCGCAAAACATTGATCTACCTTAGAGGAAGGACACAGACCTGTACAAAATTCTGCTGCTGTTCCTGCAGATTGCAATAATAGGTCCTATGAGGCCCCACCTTTTCAAGAGTCTGGCATCCCTCTCGACATGCAGGTGAATTCGACCAGTTTTGCCTTATGCCATTTCGGATTTTTGTTAAAAAAAAGGTAACTATTCAGCCACAAACTCCATTGTCTAGAGATGTCGCAAAACCGGTACCTACAGGCGGTCAGGGTTGTGAGGCAAATCAAAATGCCTTCTTTATTTAAACTGGGCGTTGGATTACTGCTGAGAAAACAGTGTGTGCCGGTAATTCGTGCTAGTCCAACCCATCTTTTCGCCGGACCGAACATTATTTTTATAAGAGGACTGAATGAAGCGATAGAGAATCGGCCCAATTTACACGAAATATAACAACAGAGTGATTTGGGCTTTAAATATTATATTTTAACCCGATAATATTTATATGATCTAAATATCTAAATAACGACAATAAACGATGCGATCAATTTCATTTATAAGGAGTTAATGGGCAGTTTGGAAGAATTTATAAATATTTTCAATGTGTTAGCTAGCGGATCGATGAGTAAGCTGAAAAGGAAATTCAAAAATCAATTAACCTCTTGAATAATGTAGCATCATAGCTAGTGTGCGTGGTAAGCTAACCTCTGGTTCGCCTTCTTGCCACTCTTTTCTTCAGCAATGTTCAATTCAGCTGTTGAGTGGAATTCAATTGTTCAAGTTCAGTGGAAGCGTATGGAGTTTAGGTTTAACTATAGGCAAATGTACGTCCTTTTGAATTGTACATTCCGCGTCTTCCAACTAAAGCCATAACCAGTAGGCAACAAGCTTCTGTCTGCTTGCGAACACAGATGATATGAGGTGTCCCAACAAGAATGCAAAATTAATGTATGGTGGTGCTTTGACAATCCAAACACTGTGAGTGAACCTATCATTATTTAATTACTAATTAATATTATTAAGAATTAATTGCCATTAAACACAGCTACGTTTTCTTACTCTTGAGTATTATTTCAAAAATGATTAAAGCTTTACTGTGATGATTCGCGAATTGGGTTTACTACTTTATAATGAAAATGGGTTAGCCATTAGCGAAGCTGGTGTCGTAAGCTGGTTTGTCGTAAGTCACGGGCTCGAGTCTGGATATTTTTTTGGATATTTCATCTGGTTTTCTCGAATATGTTCTACAAAAAAAAAATAACTATGTATTCGTTTAGAAAACCTAGTATATTGAAAGCGAATAAAAATACTCCAATATAGTGACAATACCCGAAAAATGTGGTTGTCTGGCAGAGCGTGCACACCTTATGCACCTTCGATAGTAGCGACATCAAAGGAACTTCAAAGCCGGAAGCTATAAGGCCGAGAGTCGACCAAAGACCAAAACCCTATAATAAGATGCTCAACATGCTACAACTGTAAAGAGTAAAGTCCAAAAATTTTTAAAAAATGCTGTCTACAAAGCTTGAATTATTATTATTGCTATCAAATTATTGACACGCGTTTTTTCGGATGATGCAACTGAGGACATTACGGGTGTTCGCTAAACTGTGGTCTGTAGTCCAAGAGCTCAGACTTGCGCTATCGTGATCAAGGGTGCTACATTTCAGGAAGCATTATAATCAACAATCAACATTAAAAAAATATGTTAATTAGATAAGTGAGGGACGACAGCAAATGAACGGTGAATTTTCCAACAAAATCGTCCTCATTAACGAGTCTTGTATTTGGGTTGGTGGCTTCGTAAACAGGGCAA